CTGCCAGTGAGCCTTCAACGTCAGCCACGCAGGACCAGGGCACAGCACAACTGTGACTTACAGGTAAGACGAGTCAGCATGATGATGGCTCCTAAGACACCAGAGGGTTTTGCTGTTAATGAAAATGGCAACTGTGACAGTTTGAACACACCAACAATTTTGCTGCTCCCCACATATCAGAAGTCTCCAGTCTCAGGCCTGCAGAGGCTCTGTGGCAGGGCATTCACAACGACCAGCCCTCCTGGGTAGTGTTACAGAGAGCAAGGGTGGAAAAGAAGCAGAGCTGATTCTGGATTCAGTATAATGGAGAGGCTCTGCTCACCAGGCGCCCTGCTCCATTGCTGTTTTGGAAGCAATTTAAAAGCACTTACAGTAAAAAGCACATTTCCCCAGTGATAACCATGTATATACTATATCAATATGCCTCCTAACATAGATATTTATATGCATACACATGTTGTATATATACATGCATACATATATATTCTCTCTATATATGTGTGTTTAGCTTGTGAACTTTGCCAGCAAAAGTAGTGTTTTCATACACACCAGTTTCATGATCAGCCCTGGAATGAATCATGCAATCAGGGGCCTTTGCCACTTGAAATAAAAGAGGATTCCCACTGGCTAGAGCAGAGCTTGTTCGTGTACCTTCTTATGTATTCTCTAACCACTGATAATGTAGCCAGAGACGCCTGAGGAAATACCTCATTCCACCTCAACCACCTGTCTCCTCTTCAAATGCCTCCTTGGTTTGGCAAGGAGAAACTGAAGGAAGGAGGCTGCAGCTGACTTCTGCCTCCTAGCACAGAAACTACAAAAGGACCCCCAGGACAGAGACTCCTCAGTACTGTATTTACTTAGACCCATGATTATTTTTCATTATTTCCTTACTTTTCCCTTCTTGAAAGGACATACCCAATCAGGGCAGAGGAGACTTGACATGTGAGTAGGAGCCATCTAACCCAGTCAAGGTGAAAGCTACTGGAAAATCTTCAGTGGCAGGAGAGGAGCAGAATACAGATATCTGCCGAGGTCCTGACTCATCACAGAGCTGAGTGGCTACTTGCTGGCTCTCTGTTGCACCATCATGTTTTGGGACAGCTGGAACAAGAGACTGGCCTGCAATCTCTTCGGAGTTCAAAACTCAGGTGTTGGCTGACATTCCTCGGTGATATTTGGGGACTGAGAGACCTGATACCCGCTGTCCTGGAGCCAACATCCACCACCACTCCTGGTCCCTCTGCTCCTTCATCCTGCTCCAAAATGTCTTTTTCTTCTCCCCCTGCATTGGTCTCAGATGAAGTTCATCAGTTACATACACACATGGTGCCTTTTTGGTAGCTTCTTTTGAAATACTTTGGATTTTCAAACTTCAGTAACTAATGTTTTAACAGTAGAAAACAGTATGTTTTCTCTATATGTGCTGTATGGCAGACAATGTGAACCCTGAACACGGGGAAAACTCTTAGGATATTGATCATAGAGCATAAAGTCCCTTTGAAGTGGGTGTTGAGCTGGCTGACCTGTGAAAGTCAGCTGTGATAGGCTCGTAGGTTCTGCGTGCTTCAACTTTGGGCTGTTTCTAGTGCTGGTGGAAAGTGACAACCAACAGATTGGATACAAAGAAAAGATGTGATGAGTAGGTCAACAGGGCAAGTTTTCTTATCTGGCTCCAGGTTCCAGTACAGATTTAGAAGGGCTGCCTGTCTATCAGTCTTTCTCACTCTTTTTTGAAACTTCCAGTGTGTGGCCACCAAGAGCCACTCATGATAGAAAGCATCCTGGCTTACTGGAAACAACCAATTCATTTTATGCAGATCAAAGAAGAAGTCTTAGCTGACTGAGTTTCCAGTGGTATAGCCTGACTGACTGAATTGGTGAAGGTCAGATAGCCAATCCCTCCGCAGTCCTCAGGCATTGTACTAGATTTTCATTCACTCTTAGGGTACTAGTTAAAGTAATGGGCTAGCAGTCACTAAGATTTTCATCTGGAGAGTATTTGTTGCCCATAAGAAATAAGTTATTTGGGGAAAGACAGATAACAGACCCTCACTTGACCAGTTTCCTGACAGCAGTGCTTGGAGCTGTATCTGCCACACAGAATAAAAAACTTCTTTGGCTCAAGACCATGTGGCTGATGTCCACAGCATGACGTGGATGAGTCTGGGCTCACTGGAGGCAGCAGGCCAGGCTTGTCAAAAGCTGAGTCGAGGTGTCAGCTAGCTGTTAGATGAATGGTCAGGGGCCAGTGCTTGAACCTGCTGCAGCCACCTAGTACTCAGCAACACACACACCTGTAGAGGCCGAGGACAGAACCAGCCAACTCTTCGTCATCCATCCCAAAGCTCCTCCTAGCAGGGTCAGAGGTTTGGGTTGTCCCTGTCTCTCTGGACAGGCACAGGCGTGTCACACAACATACCTCACATCCATCCTCTGCAACACAGCAGTGTTACAAACCCAGTGGTTTTGAGGGATACCCCCTTCCTGTTCACTAGCTCTAAAATCACAAGGAAAGAAGCGGCTCTGTGCCCTGCCTTCCTTTTTCCCAGGTGAGAGCACTGAGGTGTCATTTGCTGAGAGCAAGCAGCGTTTGGCCTTCCTGTGTAGCATGGGCTTGTTGGCAAACAGGACCCCCACATCCTTTTGAGCCATATTGTGGAGCATTGTTGCCTTTGAATCTGTTTTTATCTGTTTGTTTTAGCTTGTATTCTGGGGCAGGCTGCAATCATTTGCTGTACCCTGTTTCTTCTGTCAGCAGAGTGTCCCATCTGGATGTGAGTGATTGTGCCTTACTGTATATACAGATATGTGTGTGCCTGTTTAGAGAATATGTATGTGTGTCCCAAGCAAGGGATTGGAAATGCAAGGGAAAAACAGAAGAAATAAATGGTGGAATAAAACCAAAGCAAAACAAAATCTGTGTGTTTTCTCCTGGAGAGATCTGGTAGCAGCAAGCAAAATAGGGGTGGGATTTCCACTGCCATGACAAGAGTTAATATTTTAATACATTTTATTTTTTATTTTGGGGGGACAGCAATAACCCACATGTACAGTCACAGGGGAATGTGTTCCTTGGGACAAGCGGTGACACTGGAGAATGGCACCCTTCCTGCCCTAACCCTGCAGGTATCAGGTACCTAGGAACAGAAGAAAGCAAAGCCATCTAGCCTAGTGCCATTTGTTCAACAGCATCCTTGTTCAGGGAAGCATAAAAAACCAAGGCGACGCACACTGATCTTTCCTGTGAGAATTTCCAACTTGTGGCAGGCGACAGTTCAGAGGCTTTCTGTGTGGAAAACTGCATCACCATCTTTGTCCTTGATGGCTTTACAAGTAGCAGGAAGACAGACACCTGTTTCTTACTGCAGGCAGCCAAACATCCCTCTCAGGGCAATGCCTGCTCACATAGCACACAAACCTTGCCCCAGCTGCAGGCCAGGTGAGAGCAAGTTCAGAAAAGCATCTTTAGACAGCATGAGCATCATGACACAGCAAAAGCAGGGGATGCATGTGGGCATGTATCCCTTCTCCATCCATACTGTCAAGAAACGTTGGCTTGGGCAGGACGGTCTTGTATCCACAAATTGTTCTGAGCCAAAAAGTTTTGACTGCAATGTAGACCACAACTTGGCTTGGTGTTTGGGGTGGGAGTGCCTGTTCAGATTCCTCTCTGTCACATTGCTGGTGCTGGATGGTGTAATGTCAGCTGTAACCACACCTGGTCGGATGGGAAAATGCTCTCAACAAGAAAAGCCTGATATAATTTGTACAATCTCTCTAGTATGGATGGCGCCTGAAAGATTAAAAGCAAGTTAAGCACAAACCTTACAGGCCAGAAGACTTTAAATTGGGGGTGGTAAGGATGGAAAACAGAGCAAGAAAGAAGTGGAGACAGGAATGCAGCACAGAGCAAGGAGATTGCTATTCTTGTGTTTATCTGTGATCTTGTTTTTATGGTTGTTTTTGGATTGAACTGTGTTTAAACTAGTGTGAGCCACAAGGAAGTATGGGAAAGGTGAAGACCGAGAGAAGTTACTGATGGGGGGAATAGGGTTTTTTGAAAATGAGTAACGAACGAAATGAATAAAGGTCTAACCTATTCTTAAACATCCTGAGTTAAATGAGCCTCAAACCTGCCCAAGCAATATGTTCCTATGTTCCACTCTTCTCACCATGAGAAAGGTGTTCCTAATGTGTAGAGTACATCACAGAATCGTAAGATCGTTGAGTTCCCCCCCCCCTGCCATGGGCAGGGACACCTCCCACTACACCAGGTTGCTCAGAGCCACATCCAGTGGCAGTTCCAGGGATGGGACATCCACAGCTTCCCCGGGAAACCTGTCCCAGTGCCTCACCAACCTCACAGTATAGAATTCCTACCTAACATCTAATGTAAACCTTCCCTGTCGGTTTTTTTGCCTGGGATGCAAAGGAGGCTGGTAGAGGTGTGAAAACAGGCAGCGTTAGCAGGATGCAGCACATCACGGACAGCGTGGGATCCAAACAAGCAGAGTGCTGTGGGCTCCGAAACCAAAGCAGACGCCTCTGTTTGCCGCAGCACCGGGAGAGCTCCCGAACT